TATTTTTTTTTGTTTTTTTTTTCTTTTTTTTTTTTTTTTTTTTTTGGTTTTTTGAGACAGGGTTTCTCTGTGGCTTTGAAGCCTGTCCTGGAACTAGCTTTTGTAGACCAGGCTGGTCTCGAACTCACAGAGATCCACCTGCCTCTGCCTCCCCAGTGCTGGGATTAAAGGTGTGCGCCACCACTGCCCGGCAAGACCCAGGAGATTTTAAAAGACTTTTTAGCAATTGGGTTTCTTGGTTGCTGGATTGGTTGGTTGGGGCTTTGTTGAGCTTGCAATTCTTCACTGTACTGAGGATTGAACCAAGAGCCCCACTAGTAGCAGACAAATGCTCTGCCACTCAGCTACATCCTCAACCCAGAACCTTAGGTAAGTTAATGCATGAAGCCCACATTCTGGGTCTTCAAAGACAATCTCTTGGACCATGAAATAACCAACGATCTGAAAATTGTTTGAGGGCCAGTAAAACGGTTCAGTGGGCACAGACGCTAGCAGTCATGTCTTATAACCCAAATTTAATCACCAGATCTCATGTAAAGGAGGGTAGAGAGAATCAAATCCACAAAGCTGTCCTTTAAGCCCCACACATATACTATGGCATGCACATGTACTCTCATACACAGTTATAAGGAGAATAATAATATTTTTAAAACATTTGATGCCACAATTGACTGTCTCCATGATATCTAACCATAACCTCAAATCCTGAAATGGATAAAAAGTGTTGCAGATCTATAGAAATGAGGGTAGGGAGTCCAAGGACGTTTTCAGAGTGGCCTTCTTTTCCGGTGACATGCCTTGGGGAAAGCTAGGTGACAGCGGGGGTCTGGCTACCACACTCAGAAACCCTTCTGAAACTTGTTAGGCTTCCTTCTCAGTGGTTTGCTGCCTGGGGTGGGGTGGAAGCAAAGTCCATCTCTGTGATTCCACAGTGGCTCCTTTCTTTACAATGTTGTTGGATTCTGCATTCATAGAATTAATGCAGAGGAGCAGTGAGCGCTATGCAAGGAAACTAACCAGGCCTCTTTCTTCTAGGCTTCTTCTATTTCTTCCGTGGGTCAAGGCAATTTGAGTATGACATCAAGGCCAAGAATGTCACCCGCGTGATGAGAAGCAACTCTTGGTTCCGGTGTAAAGAACCGTTCAGCTCATCATTCAGTGTTGACATCAAAGAAGCGGCACATTCCACTGCAACAGTGATACCGCATCAGACAAGTGTGAACTTGTTGATTTTCAGTACTGTTCACGTGCTGACAAAAACATACAGTTAACAATAAATGCCACAAAGAAATCTTTTAACCTGGACTCTGCCTTGAAAGGACTCAAGAGTGGGAGAAATGACTCGGTGGTTAAGAGCACTGCTGCTCTTTCAGAGGATCCAGTTTTGATTCTCACCATCCACATGGCAGCCTACAGCTTTCTGTAACTCCAGGCCTGGACTCGGATGTCCTCTCTGGCCTCTAATGGCACTGCACACACACATGGTGCACAGACATACATGCAGACAAAACACCTATACACATACAATACAATGAAAAAAGTAAGAATATTGAACCACTTCTTTAATAGTAAGGTGTTATTCTACTAAACAGCTGGGTGAGCTTCTGGTTCTTCTAACAGTGAGATTTTAAAAAGGAACAAAATCTTTGACTTATTTTAAGCCTACTTCAAGCTTTGTAGATTTGGAAAAGGAAAAGATGTCTTAAAACTAAATACCAAAGACAATTCTTAATCTGATCTTTAGCATTCCATTTTGTTTGGTCCTCAGGGTACCAGTTCAAAAGCCCGGTCAATTGCATCCTTCATCCCTATGAGAGCTCTGAACTCACCCATCAAATGCATTTTACCTCCCAGAAGTAGGATGAATCCATGGGTAAAAGGAAAGAGTATGTTACACTCGAAGCCAGTCCTTAACAATTAAGGAACTAGATAGAGTAGGAAAGAAAGGTCCCCCCAGTCTTCCATATGTTGCCCAATGTATTAACCATTCCTTACATAATATGAAATCAAGTTTTGTGCACATTAATCTCTTATGCAAAAAATGTAGGTCATCCCTGTGCCCCATGTGTGGGCCTCACCAGAGCCTGCAGACAAAAAGTTCATTTCCTCTTGCCTCCACCAGCATTTGCTGAGTTAGTAAACTCTTACAATTGGGCTTTATCTTTCTATCCTTGATGTAACATATTTAACAAAGCTCTTAATAAATCTTCTCACCTGGAAGTTGGAAGATTATCAGCTGAAGTTGATTCTGGTAGGCTGCTATATTGAGACCGTATCTGTGAGAGTCAGAGTTACATTTTAATGTTAATTACTATGCCTTAGAGATCCAGGAAACAAAAATGCCTCTGACCTGCAAGCCCCTTGCCCAAGGACAGACAGTTCCTGGAATGCCGCGAGTTTTCACTCTAACAAGTTTGTTTGCCCCATCTACACACTGGATGAGCTTGATCACATGTGAGCAGTAGGCAGGAAATACGTCAGGATGTACGCTTGCCCCTGATTGAATCTGATGGGAAATACGGTGAATTGTGGGTTTTCCTTCTTAAGCCTTTGCCATACTTGATTCTGGGTCATTTCCTAGGAACTTGGGTATGGACCTGGTCAGAACCCATCCACCTGGTTTAATTAAAGCTTGCTTCAAATTTAGCTTTAAACTGTGGCAGTGGCCTTATTCTTGATTTGGTGAGATTAACAGTAAGACACTTTCACTATCTTTGTCCCGTCTGGTTTCCTCAAGGGCCTGTGATCAGCTATGGAAAGAAACGGCTTTTGAAACAAGCACGGAGAGGACTGGCAGTTTTCTCTGCAGATCTGAGCAAGCGAAACAACGAAAACACATTCATAAAGATAGATGTTTGGATTTCCTCTTGTTTGAGAAGAAGAGAAATGTATTATCATAGGCTTTGCCCTGTTCACGAACAGACTCTTCAGACATTGGCTGTGAAAATACTAAAATCTATCTTTAACATGTTGGTCAAAACATCTTAAATTTTAACTCTTTATTTATTTATTAAGTAGTAATCTATCCAGAATCTGTGTCAACCGCCAATTGTAACTCCTACGTTACTCTAGGTACAGTTCGCTGGCCACTGTATGATTCCCAAGGCGGGTAAGGGCCTGGAGATTGAAAGAACACCCAAGAGACCTGGGTCATTAAAGTTTAGAAAAATCCTTATACGCCTAACTGCTGCACAATGGAATTCCCCTCCAGGCAGGTGGGAAATTACCATGCCCAAGGTGGAGTCAACAATGCCCTATAGCTAACCAGCAGGAGGGCAGAGGGAGCAGAGGAACAAGCAGGATGTTTAGCTGGCTGGCCAGAAACTGTTCTCAAGATGAACCTCAAGAGCAGGGCTAGACCCTGGGCCCTACAACCAATAGTTAGAAAAGCTCTCTACCTACTCGGGTGGGTGACCCCCACTGTCCCCCTTCTGTCCTCCAGCATAGCCTCTTTGGTCTCATCCCCTACTCTGCAACAGGCCACCTGCAGGGCTCTGTCCTCCCACCCTACCTCCCACTCGGTCCTGAAAATCTTCTCAGTCCCCTCTTCTAGTCCATCCCCACTCCTTCCTGTCAACTCCAATAACTAGAAATACTCTCTACCCAGGACCTCCAGTGGCCACACCTAGTAGTAACTCAGAGGTATTCTCTACCAGACAGCCCATAGCCACCACACTTCTAACATCCAGAGAGGGCAACAGAAACCCAGAAACACCCAACTAACAAAGTATCAACACTCAGCATCACAATCACCCTAAATCCAGACACTAGACACCAGTGCAAAAACACAATCATCAATGCCCAGGGCAATATGTCTCTGCCACAACCCAGTCAACTACTTCAGTAGGCCCCGAGAAACACAATATAGTAGAAGCACCAGACAAAGACTTCAAAATAGCTCATATGAGTATGATCAAGATCTTACAGAGGATATGAATAAATAAATAAATAAACAAATAAATGTAAATAAATGAAGTCTGTGAAAACCCAAGCAAGTAGTGGAATGAAATAATAAAAACAATTAATGACATGAACAGATGACTTAAGAAAACCCGAACTGAAAGAAAATGGAAATGAAAAATTTGAATTTGGGGAGTCCGGTAAAAACCTAGCAAGTCTCAGCAACAGAATGTAAGACATGGAAGAGAGAGTCTCAGGCATGCAGGTAAGGTAGAAGAAATGGACACCTCAGTCAAAGAAAATGTTAAATCTAAAACTCAAAACCCAGGCACAAAACATCCTGGATATCTAGAACACTGCAAAAAGACCAAATCTATGAATAGGAATAGAGGAGGGAGAAGAAACTCTGGTCAAAGGCACAGAAGATATTTTCAACAACATCATAGAAGAAATTTTCCCTAGCCTGAAGAAGAGATACCTATGAAGATAAGAAGTTACAGAATATCAAATAAACTGAACCAGAAAGAAACAACTCTTGGCACATAATAATTAAGACACTAAATGTGCGTAACAAAGAAGAAATATTAAAAGCTACAAGAGACAAAGACCAGGTAACATATAAAGGCAGGCATATTAGAATAACTGACTTCTCACTAGAAATTCAAAAGCTGCAAGGACCTGGGTAGATGTGCAGCAGACTCTGAGAGACCGCAGATGCCAGCCCAGGCTATGATACCCAGCAACATTTTGAATCATAATAGATGAAGAAATAAAAATATTTCAGAATAATATCAAATTTAATCAGCATCTATCCCCAAATCCAGCTCTACAGAAGGAGCTAGGAGAAAATTTTCAGTCTGTTTAGGGCAATCACATCCTAGGAACCAAAAGGACTAAGTCATTCCAGATCAGCAAATCAAAAGAGGGGGAAAACTCACACCATTACAGTAAAATAAAAAGTATCAACAAACACCGCACACTGAAAGCTTTCAACATCAATGGTCTAAATCCCCCAATAAAAAGACACAAATTAACAGACTGGGTTACAAAACAGATTCCATCTTCCTGCGGCATCTAAGAAACATACCTTGACATCGAGGCTAGGCTTCACCTCATGGAAAAGGATGAAAACACTACCCAAGTAAATGGGCCCAAGAAGCAAGCTGCTGTAGTCAATTTAATACCTGACAAAACAGACTTAAAACCAAACTAATAAGAAGAGATAATGAAGAATACTTCATACTCATCAAAGGAAAAGTCCAAGAGGACATCACAATTCTTAGTATCTGTGCATGAAACACAAGCGCACCCACGTTCCTGCAGCATAAATCACATTTGCTCTTCACACACTGATAATGGCAGACATATTCTAGGCAAAAACTAAACAGCAAAATGCTGGAGTTAACTGACATTATAAACCAAGGACCTAATAGATATTTACAGAATATATTATCCAAACCAAAAGAATACACATTCTTCTCAGCAGCTCATGGGGCTTTTTTCCGAGCTTTACTACATATTTGGAAACAGAGTCAGTCTCTACAGATACAAGAAATAGCATCCTGTATCAGGTCTGATCACCATAATTAAAGCTGGATATCACCAACAATAGAGAGCCTACAAACTCATGGAAACTGGACAACTCTCTACTGAATGGATTAATTCAGAAAATAAGAAAGAAATTTAAAACTTTTTAGACTCAAACAAAATTGAAAATACATTATACCCAAACCTATGGCACACAATGAAGGCAGTTCTAAGAGAAAACTCATAGCACAAGGGCTTACACACACACACAAAGAGAGAGATTTCACACTAGTAATTTAATAGCAAATCTGAAAGGTCTAGAACAAAAAGAACAAATCATACCCAGTAGGAATGTATGACAAGAAATTATCAAACTCAGGACTGAAATCAACAAAATAGATACAGACAAAGAAAAGACAATACAAAGAGACAATGAAATAGAGTTCATTCCTGGGGGAAAACAATAAGATTGACAAACCCTTAGCTGAATTAACTAAAAGATGGAGATAGAAGATCCAAATTAACAAAATTAGAGATGAAGAAGGGTGGCATAACAACAGACACCAAAGGAATCTAGAGATCACAAGGACATACTTTGAAAATGTGTGCTCTACCAAACTGGAAAACCTAAAATAAATGAATAAATTCTTTGACTTACTCTACCTATCAAACTTAAATCAAGATAAGATAAGCAATTTAAACAGACTAATAACCCCTAGTGGAAGCAGTCATTAAATGTCTCCCAATCAGAGACAGATGGATTCAGCACAGATGAAAGAAGAGGTCAAAGTATCAATGCCAGTATTCCTCAAAACATTCTGTAGTAGGAATAGAAGGAACGCAG